AAATAAAATTTTGCTTTATTAAATAATGGCTTTTGTTAAATTACACTGTACTTTTTTTAACTATTGACGTTTTTAAAGATATAAGCTCATCCCGATGTTACACTCATCAAGAGCTTTCATTTGAGTACCCACTTGCATTTTTTATATATTTTTCATACATACATATATATAATATATATAAATATATAAAATATATGAAAAATTGATGTGGGTACTCAAATGAAAGGTCTCGATAAGTACAACATCGGGATGAGCTTATATCTTTAAAAAGGTCATTTTTTAATTATGTATCTAGAGATAGAGCATTTTCGAATGCAAGCTAAAAAAAACCGATTTTATCGTATGACTATCCTGGACACAAAATTTTTTTTATTCTCTTAATAATATAGATTATAAATTAAATTATATTAAATAAAAAGAAAGAAGTGTTATTTATAATAATAAATAGTTTGATGAATAATTAAATCAATAACGTGTTAAATGACAATAGTTTGAGAATATCAACAACTTGACACAATTTCCACGGCTATTAAGAAAGTTCAACGATCCGTCTCAACTTGAGTTTTGAGTGTCACTTGACTTCGATAGTAGTTAACAACATTTCAAGATTCTCTAACGTCACTCTGCTTAACTAAAAAGTTATAAAGAAATTTGCCTTTATAAATGAAACTCTACATTTCATTTTATTTATTTTTTATGCATTATGATCTGATATTATAAATTTATAATTCATCATTTGGCCATTTACTATCAACAGACGATTGAAAATAAATAACAGACGATAATAAATTATTTACGACTGCTGGCATTGTGTTTTTATTTTATTTAAAAATATTAGCGACAATAATGGTGACAACACGTTATTATGGGGCGATTAACTGGGGCCGGGGCCGATAAAGCCACTAAGCGATAACGAGGGGGAGGAAACGATCCCGCGACGCCTCTAAAATCCATCATAGGCTATACAAGTTCGAACAAAACGCTCGAGTATTCAATTGAAGAGCTAAAAACTGTTGAAACTATTGGGGATTTGAATCTTTACCGTTTACTGCATTTTTTTTACAGTTTTTTAAAAATATTCAATAAAATGGTTGTTTTTTTTATGGATAAGGATTTTAATTGCAAGAGATATATATGTTTTCCAATAAATGTAATAGGGTTTTACAAAAAGTACTAGAGAATTTTTTTATTTTATCTATTTTTTATTGTTTTTATCCTTAAATAATAATAACAATAATAATAATAAAAATGAATCGGTCATCCACAGACTTATTGATTATTGTTTTTTAATGTTGAAATTTCGTCATAGTATCAAAAAAATTTATGTGAAAATTATTTTTGGTCAATATTTAACATTCGTCCGCTAATTTGCATAAACTTTATATACAAGAGTGTTACATAAAAATTTCAAACGCAATAAAAAAATTTTTTTTACAATATAGGAATTAATTAAAATTTTTTTTAAGCTAAAATTTTTAATTTTAATTTTTTTTAAGCCATTTGACTCCTAGCCTTAGCGTTTAAATAAATATAAATAAATTATTTAATTTAGTTAGATTTTTAATAATAAATTTTTTATTAAATTATTTTTCTAGAAAAATTTCATTTAATTTTTACAATTCTGACATTTTTAAGTTGATTGGAGCAAAAAAAATTTTTTTACGTCTTTTTAACTCAAGAAACATAATAATATATATTTAATTAAAAATTCAATTAATTATATATATAAATTTTAAAAGGTGAATTGTCAAAATTTCAAGTCTAAAATTATAATTAGTTAAAAAAATTACTCAACTATTTTTTATATATAAATCCAGAAAAAACTTTTTCATTATAAAATAAATTAAAAAAATTCTAAAATCCTCTTTGCGTGTTAAATTTTCAATAAAAATCTAAAGTATCAAGAAAAAAAAAATAAAATTTCACTGATTTATTTTAAACTTATCGTTCCGATTTAATATATAACATAAGATTACAATGAATCGAAGGATGAATAATGTGTAAGACTAATAATAGTTACTTGAAGGAAAATTACGTCGTTGCTCAACGATAGAATGCGAGGTAGTTTAACTCGGTAAGAAAAAAGATAAAAAATAGTAACAAGAGTCGGGAGCATCTGGTGTCTTAGAAAGAGCTTCGTTTCCTCTTAGGAACTCGTCTGTCTATATCTATACCTGTATCTTGGATGCATACATGTATATTTATACACACATTCATATTACCTAATAGTCTATTCGATACGCGTGAGCAAAAGAGACACCCGATCGCGCAGACATCGTATATAAGGCTTACGAGCTCGAATGGTTATTACGCGTGATTTACTTGTAGGCTCAAGCATAAGATCCACCGGGGCTTTACCCCGTACTTGAGGAATTGTCGCGCAGCTCCGCGAATTCGTAATTCCCATCTTCATATTCACCACCACTATGAAAAGAGGAATAAAGACCTGTTATAAACTATATTATATATTATACATTTTACATTATATATTATACATGCTTTTGTATTCTGTATTAAATGTTATAAGTAAGTACTTTCTTAGTTATATTATGTCTGTACACCTCTATGGTGTTTTAAATGCATACTTACGCTTGGGAAACATTACCCTGTTGTTAAAACTTTTATTAAGTATTAAAAATGCATTATCACTAGCCGCTCATAAGAATATTTCGCACTATATGGTCATCAAATTATTAATAGTGTCACGAACGGGGTGAGTGATGGGCGCAAGGAATATGAAATAGAAATCTCAAATATCCGAACGTTACCACTTTGTCCGTTTGGGAGCTAAATTAAAAATTGCGTTGGAGTGTGGAGCGGTACACAAGCTCGAACGTTATCTCTAAGTGTTAACTTAGAGAGAGTAAGAATGATGATGATGGATCCTGCTGACTTCGGTCACGAGTAACCTATTCTATTGTTTAGTTGTAACTTTATTTTTTAAAGGAGATCTAATTATTTGTATCTTCGCGATTTTACGCGAAAACTTAAAAAAACTCAATCGACGCTAAGATATTTTCACAACCGAATTACCGGATCTCGTGTATCACGGAGAAATTGAGTAATTACAAATAATGAATTAATCTTCGCGACTTAAAGCGCAAAACTTAACACTAATCGACGCTCAACGGCGGAAACAATATACTTCGCGATTCTCGCGGAAAAATCAACGCTCAACGGCGGAAAATAATAAAAATAAGAAAACGGAATATAACTATGGCAAATATCGAATGAATTTACCGTGTTATAGTGCTACTGAATGTAACCTAATCACGAGCAAGGCACTGTCTCGTGTATCACGGAGTACTTTGTGCTTCCGAAGAATTTGATGCCCGGAGCCGACCGACGCGGAGCTAACAAGTGGTATCCTGGGCGAAATCGAACTGCCAGAAAATGATTTTCGGGCGGTATTTATATGATTAGCAGCATCAGTGATTGTATGGGCTCCATAGGTAAATTATTCCAAAAAAATGAAAGGTAGTGAAGGGCAATTGTCCGTGCGTCATCGCATTTTCTAATTCTTGGAAATCAAGGTACTTTCATGAGTAGTTTCGAAATTTACCTTTTACAAAAATAGGTAAAAGTCATTGAAAAATTGAAAGGTATTGACAAAAAAAAATAGAAATCCGAAAATTAGAAAGGGTGTCATCAAATCTTTGGAAAGTTAGGCCAGATTACTCTTCTACAGACTTCAAGGGTATGATAAATTGTAAATTAAAAATAAAAAGTTACATATATTTAGAAGAAAAACAAAATTTTTAGATTTTAGCAGACGTCACAATAGTCATAAGTCATAATGTTATAATGGAGGAATAACACTTGACTTATTTTTCCTTTTCCTAATTTTTCTGTAAACCCTATAATGTAATTCTATGATTTTTTTTAATTAATTTACTGATTGCTAAACAATTTGTTATTAATTATTAATAACTGGCCTTTGGCCGCCGTCTCCTTAGAAATGTTAGTCACAAAATATATTTTACTCTAATCAAAAGCTTTTGTACCTAAGTGCGCAATCTATTTTGTAACTAAACAAGTATTTATAAAAATATATAAAATTATCTATAATATATCAAATGTAAAGTTATGTGGCCTGTGGCTGTTGGGTCTTTTCCAAAAAAATAAATAATTAAGACTAGTATTTATGTTACACATAAAAAGAAAAATTTTTCTTTTTAAAGAACGAATTTTCTTGGCTCAAAAAAATATTTTCTTGGTCTAAAAGAAAATTTTTAACGAAAAATTTTCTTGACTCATTATTAAAATTTTATTCAATTCTACTTTATCTATTATTAGATTTCTGTTTATCAGTTATTTATTTCAAAGAAAAATCTTAAGCCAAGATAATTATTTAAAACAATCTAAAGTAAAAAATTATTTTTTGTTTAAATAAACTCTTCTTAGTTCAAAAATTTGATTGCTTAATTCAATATGAAACTCTTGAAAATTATTTTATTGGTTTAAGATTATTTTCTTTTGATTTAGGTAAATTTTTTATTAATGTACCAATTATTGGCTAATTAGGAAATTATTCTATTTTACACGAGAAAAAATTTCACTATAAAATTTCTAGTTTCTAGAGAATTTCTTTTACTTTCAAAATAATTTAAGTCTTCTTGAGAATTTTCTTATTCTATAAAATATAATACATTAATTTTAATCAATATAATGAATTTTTATACAATACCTACGGTTTAAAGTCAAAAGTTATATTGAAATATTCTAAAAAAATTCTTGGTTCAAAAAATTTTTAACTTTGTTGAAAAAACGCTTAATTAATGTTTCCAAATATCTTGATATAGATGAAAAAAACAATTTTATAGGACCGTCAATAAAAATTGTAATTATTTTTCAAACTTTTCATCCCCTAAATGAAAACGCACCAAATAATAATTCGGTCGTTTACTTTTTACAGAATTTCCACGCGGTCAACGAAATTCGTAATAACGGTAACGGACACACGTTCTCTCGTTACGCGTAACGGCTCGACGTGCCGGTAAATGGGGCAAAGCCGTTGCACCCTTGCGACAAGTATGTACATATGTATCGCAGAGCCGTTCTGTATATCACAGCACATATCTGGAGCGTTGGTGGTGTTAGTGTCGGAAAATGTCTATGTACACACGCTATATATGAATACATTTCACCACTACGCATTTCAACACGACAGATATACCTGGATATATATGATATGAAGCAGAAGGACATGTAACAGCTTGCTTAAATTCGATCGATCATCTTCAGGACAAAGATTTAAGGGATTATATTGACATCAATGCTCCCTGGAATGAATTCATACCGGAGATTGACCAGGAAAGTAAAGAATTCATCGAATTAGGGAGTATTACTTTAGGTTATATTGTTCATAAGTTACTTCTAAAATTTCCTCAAGAATTTTTAAGACCTAAACTTCCTGAGGTTAAAGTTCGAGCGATTTTGCTTGGAGTTTCTGATCCAAAGCATTATTCAACACTGCAAGATTTACTTAAACACCAGAAAATAAGCGTGATTCGGGTGGAAGATGCTATTAACTATTGTCTTCAGTGTTATAAAGAAGAAAAGAAGGATGAAGACAGTGCAGAAGAATTTAAACTTGAAACTCATTCGGAATCATCCATAAAAAGTCCTGAGGATTCCACTTTGAATGGTGAAGGTAAAAGCAAAAATATAACAAAAATTGACAAAAAAACGCAGACTTCCAAAGTGATTCCTTTCGACGACATGCACCCAAGATTGAGCGACAGCGCCTATATCGGAGAATGGACCCACAGATTTATCATCCAAGGTGAACCCGTTTCTGATGAATTAATAGCCAAGGTTATTTTCGAGTACCTGAAGAGTTTTGACGACATCAAAGGCTGGGTTTTGATAAATTATCCAGTTACTTATCGACAACTAGCGTTTCTTGAGTTGTCATTGAGCGGCAGACCACTGACTGATGTCAATAAAGTCTTCAGTTTCAATGAAGATGATATTGAAGACTATGAATTTGAACCTCAGATACAGTTCGAAGATTCAGGCGAATCTGATTGCAGAGAATCAAAACTGCTGCCGCATTTGGTGAAATCTGATGCAAAATATAATTCTTGTTTGACCGTGTACGTAAGAATGATTGAAAAACCTGCAGAAGTTGAGGGAAATGCTGAAGAATTGCTTGAAGTAAGAGCTGAAGATATAACGCGTGTGGATGAATTCTACAGAGACCAAGGAATAGCTCGGGTGGTTTATTATGATGAGTGTGATAGCAAGACACTGAAAAAAGTCGTGAGACTAATTATTGGGGATGTTAGAGCTCCGAGGAAGTCTTCTGAAGAAATTTTTGAGAGTGAAGAGTTCAGAAATAGCTCTGTTAAATCATTGAGTGTTGAAAGTTCGCAGTCTCAAGAATGTAAAGTCAAGCCTGGCGAATTAAACTGGACTTGGGTGGATCTGCCGCTTAAATTTGAGGTTGCCAAGGAGCTGGTTTCGCTGTGGAGGAACTGCGAAAGTACTTATGTTAATGAACTGAAAGATATCTTGTCTCTGAAGAGGCTAAACTTGACTGCAATCATTCCTTACAAGGATTTTGTTTACAATCGAGTGGCCCAAAGCGGTAAAATTGGCTCGGATAAGCAAGAGCTCGTGAAGAAGTTCAAGGAGGCTTTTAATAGCGTAATTGAAGGTGGCTTTGATAAAGTTGAGAAGAGTGAATTGCGCGGTGACGTAGAAGAGTTTCAGATGGAATTATGGGAGATTTGTGATGCAAAAAGGCTAAAAGCTGATGAAAAAAGGAAGAAGATTATTTTGGATGACTGGACTTCCAAGCAAATTATTGTGCTGGTTAATATTTATGTCAGGATTATACAGATTGAGATAAACCGGTTTGTGGATACTTTGGAATTTTTGAGGTGGTATTACTTGACGATGCTGCAGCGGACGATTGAAGATAATATTTTTAGGAAAATTATTCTGGATAAAGTTTCAGGTTAATATTTAAAAAAAAAAATTATTTAGTTTGAATGAATTTATAGTATTGCTCTAATCAGGTCTAAATTAATTTAAATCAGGATGTTGTTGACCAAATTTTAAGGTATTCATTGATTTATTTTTTAGATATTTGTATTGAGTTTTTTATTTTACATGAAAATTTTTAATTGTTTATTTGTTTGTAAACCAATAAATTTGGTCTACAACATCCTGATTTAAATTAATTATAGATCGATTGATAGTTTTGTAATTATTAATAGGAAATTGTGGAGGAGAAGAAAAAAAATGTCCAAAGCTACCAGAAATAAATGACGCTGCTTTGCAAAAGGAAATTCAGAGCTTGATGTTGGGTGTCAGCGATAATTTGGAGGAAGTTATAGATGATTGTCTACAAGCAATAACGCCGACTATTGATTATGCACAATCTATAGTTGAAGAGTTATCAGACTCAGCGGTTGGTGATTTGAAGAAAGAACGTGGTTCTAAATCAAAGAGACGTTGTTCAACGGTAAGAGTTAAAAAAAAGTCTGAGAAGTTATCTGATGTTTCTGTAAAACCCAAGAAAGTTAAATTGGGATCCAAGAAGAAAAATTTATTCTTAGAGTGGAAGTACGCGCTGATGTACGAGATAAATAGAGTAAAAATGAGGGTGCAGATACTAAATTCGGCTGTCAAAGCGGACATTGAGTTTCTTCTTGTAAATATTAAGCGAGGATTTTCTTTGGCTGGTCAGTCGATAAATGAAAGATATAAAATTGAGATTGATAATGTCAATGATTTGGTTAAATTATTTGAAAAAGCTATTGAAGATGAACATCTTATTGAAGAAGAAATAAATTTAGTTAACGATTGTTTTGTTATTCCTAAAGACGTTAAGGTTGAGCCTTTGGTTTCAGAGGAAGAAATTGATGATAAATTTAGAATAGAACAGTTGTGTTATTTGAAAGATGTTTTCCAGAGTGTAGAACCTCGTGGGATTATTTCAAAGGTTTCTTTTGTATATATTTTGCAAGACTTGGTCACTTGCGAAGAATCAGAAGCGGAAGAAGAGGAAGAAGAGTTGAAAGAGGGAGAATATGTTATTTCTTCTTTACCCACTGCGTGGTTGAAGTTAACGCCGGAGGAAATTAAAAAAGTAGTTGATGAGGTTTTTGAAGATGATACTGTCGATTGGAGAGAGTTTATTGTTTATGCATTGGATGTTAACTTGAGTCAAGATGCGATGCTTGATGCACTGGATGCTTTCAAGCAGAAAGATAGTGATAAAGATCAAATTATTAGTAGGAAAGAATTTTTTTCTGTGCATCTCTGGCCGTTTAATTTGAAGATTGAGCATGAAGAAATTGAAAAAGAAGAAATTTTTGAGGCAGAGAAGTTTAATAATGATACAGATGATTTAAATAAGTCTCAGGATGAAAAAATTGGAGATAAAGAAATTGATTTAGAAGAGAATGATGAAGAAGAAATAGGAAGGCTTTATTTAATGAAACTGTTTGTCTGCGATATGTTTTCAAATGATGATAGCCTTAATTATATGGAAATTTTACTTGCGTTCTGTAAAGATAAAGAACCGATTTATGGATTTGGAAAAGCTTTGAGTGTTTTTCTTGGACAGAAAATTTGTATGGATTATGATGAAGGAGAGAAGTATGTCGCAAGTATTGAAAAACAACATTCGCAGCAAGTTATAAAGAGATATGCTAAAAGAGTAAGTTTGGTGTATTTTAGATTGGTATTTTTTTATTTTAATTTTGATTTTACAGGTGAGCGAAAAATGTGTGGATAAACTGATTGATTGTGTTGCTGAAAATTTAGATAGAGTTGATGGGTCTTTGGAAAGAAATATTGAAAATGCTGAACTGGTAGTTGAGGATCAGGAAAATTTGCGATTGCTCAGTCGTTCAGATGAGGAAGATTTAAAATTAACTAAGTCGAATGAAGAAGATTTGAAATTAACTAAGTCAGATCAAGAAGAAATGAATTTTAGTGAGTCAGATGAAGACTTGCTTCTTTATTATAATGAAAATTTTTATGATGAGCAGTGTCATGATATTGTGTATTTTAATGCCGGTGGTCGAGAAGCGCGAAGAAAGAGTACGCGAAAAATGGTTTATTGGATATCAATGGATCTTTGTGAGGTAATTTTAATTATTTACTATTTTTTTAACAATTATGAACTAGATAAATTATTTTTTAGAATTATTACATTCACAAAAATATATATAAACAAAAATTAATTAAATTAATTGTAAATTAAAATCTTCCTAAAGAGAGTACAATAAACTTTAATCTAATGAAATAAAATAAAAATATGTAAGTCATGAAAAAAAGTTTATTTTAATATCAAAATTATTGTTAAATTTATCTAGAATAAATAATATAAAATTTCCTAATCCCTTTCCTAAAAGAAATAAATTAAAAAAAGCGTTTTTATAATTAATTTATTTCTTAACAAAATTCAACGACGAAGTAATTAATTTTTAATGGTTTTAGAATTAATATTCTATTTAAAAAAAATAAAAAAAAGAATTATTTATTTTTATTATTTATAACGGCCATAAAATTTCGTAACTTTTTTTAAAACTTTTAAAAATACCCGCCGTTGTCTGCGCATGCGCAACCGTTTTATACTTTTGCGCATGCGCGAGTTTGAATTCAACGGCCATCTTGCTTACAGCGCACTTACTGTCTCAGCGATTCCGCTAACCGTCACCGCGGTCCAGTATATTCATTCCAATCACACAATTTAATATTTTTCAGTCGGTTTTAACGTCATTGTTGCCTCAAACAGCTATAGAAGATCTAGAAGCAAGTACGGGAGTTTCATTAAAAGAAAATTTGCGAATTGTCAGTAAAGAATTACGTTGTAAAGACACTAAAATTAGTTGCAAGCTCGTGTTGGCTCACCGTCTTCTCCGTCATGACATGATCACTCGAATGCTTGCGTCGACCAATAGATTTACCGCCAAAAACCTGAGCAGTATCCTGAGAAAAATTATCAAGACAAAGTAGTGAATAATTAATGTAAGTAATTTTTAAAACACTTTTATTTTTTATTACATGTTTTTTCGACTGGAATTTCAATTATTTTTCACACTCGTTCATTCGTAATATTCAAAAGCTGTACATAGGAGTAGGTTCATATTTTTTAATTTTTTTAATCATTATTTTTGCACAACCCGCAAATGATTCATTCATCTAGAGGTTATCGTTACCATTTTAATTAATAAATGCTTAGCAAATATCTAGTGCCTTATGGTAAATTATTTAATCACTATCTGTCTTTACTGATAGTCTTCATTTTAGTTTTTTATTTTGAGTTTTATTACACGGAAATAATTTTTTTTTGGAAGACAATAATTTTAATAAAAAAAAAATTATGAAATTATGAAAATTAAATTAGCCGACATTTGATAATTTTTTTTATTGAAAAATAATTTTTCAAAAATTAAAACAAAAATTTTCACATGTAGAAAATTTTAAAAATTGTTTTTTATTTCTAATTTTTAATTAATAAAAATTTTTGAGTGTCGGCTAACTTAATTTTCATTCAGAAATTTATTTACTGAAGTTTGTAAAAATTAACAATTTTATTCTTTAATAAATTTTTTTTTTATAAAAATTATCAATGGAAGCTTTACATTAGTCCGTTAGAAAAATTTTAAATAATTGTTTTATATTTACAATAATTAATTAAATTTTTTTTAAAAGAAATAATTGAAAAAAAAAAATTAAATTTCATTTTTAGATTAATATTTTTTATTTATTTCAATACAATTGATTTAATAAAAAATTATCAATCAATTACTAAATGTGATTTTTAATTTTTATTTTCGTGTAACAAATCTCAAATTACAATAATGTAGCTGTTAATTCTCTCTATCAATTCAATCACACATTGAGATAATTACAAAGGAGTCGAAAAACAATTAACTAAACTTAACGTAATGAATGAGCACCTACATTCAAATTTGATTACAATAATAGAGACAAACAATTATTCAACAACTATAAGAATAATAATAATTAGATGGAAAAAAACTTTTACAAGCTCATTAATTAAACAGTTCTGTCAATAAACTTTTTTGTTCAATCGCTTCATTTTCTTTGATCCACAACGAGTTTGATCGTTTATTTTAATCATTTTCACAGCCCTCGACTTACTAGTTGACATTTTTCGTAAACTTTATTTTCATCTTAAGTATCATGCAGTTTATTTAATCATTAATAGTATCTTCATATTTATATATTTATATTTATATTCATAAGTGATAATGATTATCATACATATGATATGAACCCAATGATTTATTTTATAAAGCAACAACGGAATAATGTAGTTTCAAATTTGCGTATGGTGAAAATTATATTTTGTAAACTAGACAATGATCTGAAGATAGTTCACTTATTTTATTTAATTTAAGTATTTTCATCCAGTGATTAATTAATTACATCAGAGATCATCGGGCCTTGGAATAAATCACACTGAACTTTAATAGTCATTACTTTTTTTTTTATAAACAAATACTCGAGTAAAAAAATAAGCATTTCTAATAATTTACATCATGGAAATCAGATCCTACTTTTAATATTTATTCACTTACTTAATATTTATTATTATCATTAATTAGAAATTATTTTAATACGAACATTAATAATTCTATTACTTATAAAATAAAAATATAATTTTAGAATTCCGTGACTGGATTTAAAAAATTTTTATCTTCACACAAAGTTCAAAGACTCGCTACCTGTTTTTCCGTGAATAAATAATAGAATTATTAATATTCTTAACAATTTATCATTCCGTCGGAATTAACACGCACCAAGTCTTTTATTATCATTTTTACTAAATAATTCACAGTGTTTCTTTTCAATTTCAAACAATAATTTCAATTGAAAAGTAAAATACAACACAAAAAAAAACGCACTACAAATTTCCATAATAAATATTATTGATAATAAATATTACATAATTAATAATAATAATAATAACAATAATAATAATAATAATAATCGATAAAAAATATATGCATATGCTTACTTAATCATACATTTATATCACTTAATAATACTATTACTATACAAGATAAGTAAAAAATAAAAATATTTAACAAAGTATAATATAATACGCGCTAATATTATCAATTATTACAAATACAATAAAATCACCACAGTTATTTATCTTCCAAATATTAAGACACTGTTTAATTATTTTATTTTTAAATCATTTGGCACGTTTAAAAATTATTATTTATCATATTTTTAATTTTATACAGTTCCTAATTCGTTATTCTAGTTAACTATATAACTCGATAACTTTTAAAAGGGAGTAATAAAAAAATATGGGATCTCAGAGTACAGTGCGACGTAATAACACTTGATTCACTTTCATTCATCTCGTCACTTTTTACTTTTCTTTTTCATTATTATTATCATCATAATTATTATTGTTATTAATATTATATTTTAAATCGAGTCTTCTGTCTTTCATTTATAAACTTGCTTGTTTTAACTTTTAATTTTTTCACTTTTGGATGTGGATAATAATTATTATTATCCGTTGGCTGAATTTTTTTTCAACCAAACCAAGGTAGCCATCAGCTGGGCTGCGGGGGCGTTAGTTTAACAAGTAACCAAGTATAAAGTTTATATTTTTTTTTATCGATTAAATCGTATTTTAAATTCGTCAAGCCGTCGGTTGCGAACCTTTTTTTACCTGTTTTTAAATATTCATACCTGAAAATAAAAAAATATTTGTGTAGTTATAAAATATTAAATTTTAGTATGGTAGTGAAACATTTTATTTTTCATTGTTTTTTATTTAATAATTCAACTAGAAACATAAAAAATTTGATATTCAAAAGAAGAAATTTTATTTAAAAATATAACTCAATTTTTATTAAAAAAAAAAAAAAAAAAAAATAATAAATCAATTTTTATTAAAAGAAAATAAATAAATAAACTTTTTGATTTTCAAGAGTAAAATCTTTAAAAAAAAAAGATTTATCGTTGAAGAATAAAAGTTGTAAATTACCTTCGTGGATTAGCTTTTTCCTTTCTATGTGAAAGCATCTTGTAACGTGCGATATTAGGTGGGTAGCGTGATATATGAAGGCCTTTGGCTTTTATGCGATTCGCCATGTCGTCATCTTCACCTCCCCAACCCCAAAACATATTACTGAATCCGTTTACCAGCCGGAACTGACCTCGTGACATTGCTGACACTCCGCCGAATAAATCCGCGTATGGCAGTCTGCAATTTTTCAAAATTACCTCCAATAACTTTTCAATCTTTCGCTCAGTATTAATCATATCATGCATCAAACAATTTATAAAAAAAAAAAAAATAAAATTTATACGGTTAAAAAAATCAATATTAGGTTGAAACAATAAAAAATCCTTAGAGTAAAATTATTGCTTAAGGTACCTGTATTTAAATTTATCAACCGCAACGGACATGTGTCGTGGTTGTTCAGGACAAGTATAAAGATTTCTATCGTCCTCTGGCAGTAAATCAACATCATGAAAGATAAAACAATCGAATATTTTTTCCTTTAGCGCTTCAACGTATCCTACATTCATCAGCATGGCGCGGTTGAATGGCCCGTTACCTAATGCAGAAACATAAAATAAAATTTTACTGATTTTTTTCCATTATTTCTTATATTTTTTCTTCAGATAACATTCATAGTATATTCATAGCTCATACATATAAACATTTATGGTGTGGTCTATGTGGTATGGTAGGGTCGATTTAAGTGACTCTGATAGTGCACAAAAAATTATGTCGATTTCCGTATCTCGTTCTAGTAAAATGAATCATAAATGTTTGAAAAAGATTTTTTAAATCGAATCGTGTTTTACCAAAAAAAAAGATTTGTCAACTAAAAAAACTTTGAATGTTTATTTTTACACTTTTTTAATAGTCTATAAATATTTGTGAAATTAAAAAAAAAGTTTGAGTAATTTTGAGAGATTAATTACTGCGATAAATCCTAATGAGGACGATAAATAAAGAGATTAGTGTTATAAAATGTTTACTTGAACAAAAGACTAGAAAGTAGAAGTTGAAATAAATTAATTAAAAAATGTTTTTTTGTAGCTATGAATTAAGACTGCTCTTAATGACTGTAAAAAGTGAATTTTATGAACAACGCTCTTGAATGCCATTCTAAATTAGTTACATTAATTCCCGACACATTCATCAGATTAATCTAGATGGTAGATTCTTTAATAACGTTTTGGCGAAATCACGGTAGAAAGAAATAAAACTCAAGTGTTAGTTTGGTATATGGATTAGAGTAAAAAAATTCAACTTGACCTCATGCAAAAAGGTAAATCGGTCACGCAATATACCGCTGCATCGAATTTTAGCTATTCATGCCCTGGTACTTTAATAAATTCTTCACAATACATTCATCCTCACGAATCCGATAGGTATATGCTTATAAACTGTCTCAATGAAGACGCAGAAGCTTTCAGCGCAGAATCTCGAGTCTTCAAGTATTCACTTCCGCCTTACTTGAGCTTTACATACCAAGATATGGATGATGTCTATATCCATACACTTATCTTTTCTGCTCGATACACTCCTGGTTTTTTTTCTTTTTTTCTCATTCATATCAAAAACGTTCTCGACTGCTCTATTTCGAAAATTGCGAAGAAACTCCCGAATTTTCGCATGGTTTTTTTCAATAATTTTGCACTTTATCATTTTTTGTACAAGATTTAATTTTTTTTAAAATTATCATTATAAATTATAACTTATCGTCTTCAGACAGTTTATAAGTATAATAATCTACCGATAGTAAAAATTACGTCGATAACTTTTTTCATTTCCTTTTTTTCCACTTATCAACAATTTTTCCAATATCTTTTTAATCGTTTGCTTTCTTTTATGCTTCGCTTACAGAAATTGAAAGTTTAAAAGATGGAACTTTTCAACAAGATGTAAAAATGATTATCTATAATGTACTTTAAGTGCGAGTAATTTAAAATATTAGCGAATTTTTCTATCTATAAATTCAATCTTGAGTCGTGTTAATTAATTTATTTATTAATGAATTTATTTTGCCTTTAATGATTAACAAAAATAAAAATTTTGCTAAAATTCAAAACTAAACACTAAATCTTCTTCAACAAAAAAGTAATCCAATTTTATTATTGCTGAGATTTTCAATTTACTTTGATCAGCATTAGCACCTATCACAATACTTCTGCCCGAGCGAGTTTTAAGCAATTTACTACGGTTGAAAAATCAAACATTCGCTTTTCCGAGAATCGAAACTATCCCGACAGAAAATAGGAGAAAAATAATTAGAAATCCTTTTTGATCGTTCGTATTATTATTAAAAAAAAAATAATATTTATATTATAAAACATTGCAATCTATAACAAGTACTGACTCATAAAGTTAATTTTTTTTTCTTTTTATTACTACATCGGATCTATTGAAAATTTGATAAACAAAGCAAACAAAGTTATCACAATAATGTCCCTCAAGTTTAAAACAGATATTATCTATGCCATGAATATTATAGCACAAAAGATAGAAGATAGTTATATTTGTTCGTACATTATACGTATGTACAATAAACTTGGTGAAATATGCGAGTACTCCCCGAAGCTATTACATCGGGAAATTATGTTATTGTACTTTGGAATTTAACTTTACAATTTTGGTTAATATTGACTGTATTAATACCATCATACATCAAACATGTACATATGTATATATCAACATTATATTTATATTGACAGACAGATAAACTTTGAACTAATTATCTATCAAATAATCCATTATCGCAGTCGTAAATAATTTCAATTAATTTTATTTTCATGAGTGACGAATTTTTACAACTATTCAGCGTGTTTACATTCATTGATTATTTTAATCGGGTGACGAATTATCAAAGTCGTAAATTGATATTTTTTTTGTGAAAAAAAAATATTTATATAATTCCAGTTTTTAAAAATGTTAATTTAAAAAATATCATCTGAGGGAATAATTAAAATATGAATATGGAAATTAGCTGTTAGAGACGAATATTGAATCCAAGAATTTTTTTTTTCCATATTTTAATTTACAATTTATATAAATTAATGGTAGAGTACCTTCTTGCTCAACGATGAATATTTGATAGTCGATCTGCTGCTTAAGTAGCATAGGATGAAGATTATATAAAAGCGTTTGAAGATGCTGAGGCCGGTCTCTGTATGGAATTATAATGGCAACTTTGTATCGCGGCTTACAATTCGACGGCGAGCCTTTTCCACCTGGTTTCACGTCCGTGAATTTCACCTCGATCACTGACAGCTCCGGGGGAGTTTTATTGACAACTAATGGACCGGCTGTAAAAAAAAAAATTATCACTTCATGTTATTGAAACGTTTTCACGTTTTCAATCTGTCTAAAAGTCGGATGTAATTTTTTTTTCTATTAACAACTACGTTTAAATTGTACGCAAAAGTAATCTGAGTTTAACTCTAAAAAATTTTCAAGTTATTGTTCTTGGTCCGACGTCGGCTGAAAAAGCTATTGTAAGTTTCATTCAATTTATTTACAATTACTAATAAATAACAACTTTTGTTGGTTATTAATGTTTATACTCATGTTGGTGAGTTGTTTCTGAGGGAGTAAAATAAATGAAGATATTTACCGAGGTTAGGTGGGATGAGAGGACATTGTTTTATAACTGACGAGTCAGTGACGTTGGGTCCATTATAAGTTGTGTTTCTTGTTGGACTAGTTTCCGTTCTTGAGACATTGCTGACATCCTCAGGTGCCACAGCAGGCTGCATTGTTTCTTTAGTAAAGTTCGTGTTTGTCTCTGCCGAATAGGTTGGTACTCCTGTTGTGATACCGTAAATAATCAAACCTCTCGGATGCCCTCGGAATGAACGTTCTGTGTATCTGGAACAATAACAAAATTATCATTATTATTTTAGTCAATAACTTCTTTGGAATATCAATATTGATGGATTATAATTCTGGAAATTTAAATATTTCACTTATCACATCTGTTCAATAGAAATGAATAATTCAAAATAAATAAATTTACTTTTTCCAGTTCAAAAACTTAAAGAGTTTAGATTCAGATATTGAAGTTTTAATTTCAAACAAAAGTCGTATTAAAAAAAATAAATAAATTTTAGAAAATATTTTCGTCTAATAAAAAAGTTTTTTTTTTTTATTAAAAGTATTTTTGTACTGCATTAAATATTGAATCAAATAACAAATTGTAAAATTAACAAAATTCATCTGAATTAGCCAGTATAAATAATTTGAGCGTATTAATAGTAACTAGTGACTAGTTGGAAATTACTTAGATGATATCTCTTGCACACGTAACGGGAGAGTATTATTTTGGGATAATGTTTCTATCTCCGGGAATCAGGAAATAGAACGTGAGGAATACTCTCAATAATTAGTTTATCGTGACTTGAGATAATTATCGAACTCGGGAATTTACTATTTCCTTGATTAATTTATTCCGTAGAGTGGATTAACGTTTAACGGTTCTAGTTGCTGCTGGTATTTACTTTTACACTCAATCGAGTTCGAGTGACAAAAATTAACCGGATTCGATTTTACCTTTTTTAATTAACCTTTAGCTAGTTTCTATTTTCGGACTTTAGCCCGGCTATTTCGATATATATTTATAGTTCATTGATTTTTTTCACGTCTGGTCTGTACTCTGCAATTGGGGTAAATTAGTCCGTGACAAAATTTTATAAATTAATGATAAATGAGTCAAGAGAAAACTCATGCGATGAGTAATGAGTTGAGTTGTTAAAGTTTGATGTTTTATTAATTAAGCTAAAAAAAACTAAAAATAAAATTGACTTTAATTAAAAGCTTAAAAAGGTAAAATAATTATTGCTAATTAGGGCAAAAGATCACAAACTGGTTGGCATTGAGCATCAGCTGGGTGAACTGAAACCCTGATCGTCCAGCTAATTTTGCGGTGACACGTCCGGTCGACTCGTTATTATGGCACAATACCAACTGCCCGTAAAACCACATACGCACGTGCACAAAGCTCGACAAACTGCAACGAGGAATTATATACACAGCTATACACAATATCGTAAGCAAAATGTTGATTCCAAGTGCATTCACTCGGGAAACCGTGCAATTCGCGCGTGCCGATGCCCCTCGGGGGTATTACTGCCAATATAGGTTTCCTTCTGTTCTATATTGCTATTTAGCCATAAACCAATGATTGTTATGTCACTATATATATACAATCTACATTATGACCTGCATTACTCCAACTTCGATACTCCCAATTTATTCTTTTAACATTATTGCGCAGCTAAGAATTTATTAATATTAATAATAAAAAATAGTACATTAAAAATTTGACCTCGAACTCGAGTACTTAGCTTCTGTATGACTTAATGAGTAAAAAAAATTTAATCATTTTTTAATTATAAATTACTTCCGAGGACTTGGTAAATTTCTTATGCTGGTAAAAGTACGTGTAATTACTCCAAAAGTAATCTTGTAGAATAGAATAAAAAGTTAAGTAAAGTAAATGAATTTTATTTTTAGACCTTCGCTCATTATCAGTATATAAAAAAGTAATAATTTTACTAATTACCGTCTTTTAATTTTTAACCGTTGTAACTAAATGTTAATTGAACAGATGAATATTTTTTCCGAAAGTATGGAACGTTCATAAATTACCACTTAACTTTTAATAGGTCGTAACCTCATGATTACTTTGTAACCGGAGTTTTTTCTTATGTAGTGATTTATCGTTCTCATTAAAAATTGTGTTATTCGTATCAGAAGCGATTAATTAATATTACAAGAACGAAGATTTATTTAAAGCCGAAAAAACTCGTAAATTCTGATAAAGTTATTCTTAATGGATAAAAAGAAAAAAATTTATATTCATTAAAAAGTCTCAATAAATTTTTCTACTATTATAATTTTTACAAAATTGTTTTTTCAATAACAACTCATATTTTGAGTCCGCAAAAATGCATACACCAGTTAACGGTTTATCATTCAATTAAAATACCAACCATTATCAATAATAATAGTAATAATAATAATTACGACAACAAATGATGACTAGTATTGACTTTTCCGTTTAATTCCACCACATCATTATAATAAACGTACTCAAATCCGCTTACGCAGCGTAAAATTAACTCAGAATAAGTTTATGCTGATTCGTATAGTATATAATAGTGAAATAGTCCCGAGGGCTTATAACGGCTATCACTCAAAGCTGAGAGTCACGGCGGAGTAATGAAAAGACGAAGACAACCACGATTTAGTGTATCTATATTACAGAGGACTGAAATTTCATTTTATTATAAACTAACTCATACTATATTCACTATTAAGTCGAATGCTATTGCTATTGCTATTGGTTTTCTCAGAAATAGCCTTGGGCATTTTACCCGTCGTGTCTTTACTTTTCCGGGGTCACGGATTTATTCCTTCCATCTCCAGGGAATTTCTTGATAAAAATTTTGTTGTCAAACTTTTTACGCTCTATGTTATTTAACTTGATGTTTTTATTTAATATTTCATCCGGAATTTATTGCGTCATACGTGAGTTTTTATTTGGTTTTTACGGGACATGATTTATAATTTATAGCGCTTATTCACTTTCATATTTGTTTGCATTAATAAAAAATAAAATACGTATATAGTATTTTTGGAAATAAAGAGAGCATGTGAATTTGGAATGATATGAAGTAGACATTTAACAGTTCTCCGAACATCAATTCAATAACTTGGATTATCCATCACATCCGGTTTATCTGCTAGTAATATCCGAAATGTCGACGAAATACGCGATAATATCTCTTGGTTGGCAATCACCATCGTTATTGACATCCTGCTCTACCAATCTAGGATTTGTGACCCCCATTCCTCCGTAATACTTATAATCATTTGTGTAATCAAAGGAATTAATTGATAACGCTTTCACCCAAACAGACGTGATAAAAAGTGTCGGTATGAAAATTGAATAAATATATAATGAATGAGATTTTTATTTTATTCGTCCCTTGCAGGCAACTACCTCACTACCCACCATTCATATTTTACATGAATTCGTCAGAATTTACTGTCAAGTCCTCACCCTCGGGCTTTTATCTACTTTTTTATCGTGACATCATGTCCCGATTACTATTTTCGGGTCAATTTTTTTTATAGTTTACTTTGTGAGTGGAGGGTTTTGTTATTCATAAGGAACTCCATCAGAACCGCCCTATTTATTTTTTCATGCGAGCAATTGATAATAGTTTTTTTTTTTTTAATTTAAATTTGCTCTTTTTTCCGAGGGATTCCCACCAGATTATTAAAAAACAGGAAATTGGACGAACCTTTTGTTTGATGCGCGGCTTTTATTCTGATTTTCAGAAAATTATTCTTTCTGAAAATTCTCGAGTTTCGATGGATAAAAATACTCGTTAGTTATTAGTAACTTGGTCAGTTCATTGATGTAACAACAATAATTATCCACGTTAAAAATGTATACGAGTGCTTCAATACTACTCGGTATTCTGAACCGTTTCATTTGATAATTAAACAAACATTTTAATTAATAAAAGGTCATTCAAACCCATGAATTTCACATCACGGGAGGCCGTAAAAATATTATTTAATTATAAATATTTGAATAACAACTGAGTATCAAATATTCAAATTACTTTCCACGGTCGACGATGGATTCATATTATTTAATTATAATCAGAATTTTTTTTTTGGCAATCAGTGAATTCAATTTGAAATAAATCTATTAAAGCCAAATATAAAAAGTTAAATACTAAACTTGATGTGAAAAATTTCTCTTCAAAATAGCAATCATTATTATTGAATGTTCAAGCATACTTCACTCATTGTAACAGCTTTCATTTATTCTACACTAGTACAACAAATCAATTATCCAACATCGAATCAAATGATATGCAATTTAATGACCTGAACAAATATTTGCGATGCATTGATCATTTATTAACATCCAATATCGCAAGAAGATGATTGGTGTGCGTGTAAAGACAAACATAGCATAATTAGTATTTGCATTAATCAAATAATCTGTCTGTTTACTTCCATTAATTTGGTGCATTGTAGAAATGAAAGAAATCATCACTAAAATAAAAATTAACCTGATTCAAGGAAATAATTTTTGAACTAAGAAAAATTTCTAGATATGGAGTTTGCTTTCATTGAATAAAATAGAATATTCATTTGCGCACTATTCAGATAAATTGAATTCGATCGGATAAATCGAAATTTAATGAATGTCGATATCTCGTATACTACATATTCAGTTTGTAACTGTATACACAATTTATTCTTCTTGTTTATTAAGAAGTTTTTCATAGTACATCTTCCGCTTGCATATTTCGTGAGAAATAAATTTAGCGTTGTATACATATGGGAATATATTGTGCATAAGCTCGAGGCGCGAGTGGCAAATGTATATGATATAAGTACATACTCTATGCACGGTTATGTCTTTGACGTCGCCGGAAGGTAACGCCCAACTGTAAGCTCCAGAAGCTCTTTCAGCGATCTTAAGGGTGGATCAATGGATTCTCATAGATATATTTATTTCACCTCGCGGAAAATTGTTCTAATCAAAAAAAGTCCAGTCAATCTATTTTTGATCTTCCAAAAAATTTAACGATCGATAAATAGACCTGTTTTGTAGAAATTCATTTTCTCTAGGTGTGAGATAGTTTTTTTTACATGTAATGTAGAGAATAGTTTTATATTTCATTGAAAATATTCGGTAACTTTTTTATTGACTTTACAGTGAGCTCAAAGAATGTCTTTTTCATAGATAGAAACATATTTCCTTCACCTTGCAAGATAGTTGATACACTTTTAGATTGACGAATTCTTTGAGATACAATTGAAAATACTTGGATCGCAAATTCATATTTGAGAAGCTTGTTTGATTTATACTTGAATAACAAAGAACATATGAAAAAATATTCTGATATTGATTTTATGACAAAGATTTTACTTTTTGGTATTTGAGTATATAGGTCTATTTTTATTAATTATTTAAGAATTAATGGAAATATCTATTATGATTATGGCAGTGCTTATTATTTAATTATTGTATGTATTTAGTTAATAATATTATATTAGTGTTACTTAAGGTATGATTAAATTAGGAAATTAAACGTGTGAGAATTTATTTTGAAGCCGAGAAAGTTTAGCGAGCAGAAGAAAATCGTTATAAAAGAATTGTTAAAGACTGAGAAATTATTCTAAGTCACAAGCAAGTTTTAGTATGGGAAAGCTGCGAATGGATATAAAATGAAAGAATGGACGATTAAAATAATAAAGAATTGTGAATTCGATGCGGCGAATGGATATAAAATGAGAGAATGGACGATTATTATTTTAAAGAATTGGGACTTGGAAATAAAAACTTAGAATTTGGTGAGACGAATGGATAGAGAATGAGCGAAATTGCGATTAAAATAATAAATAATTATTTTAAAATGCTAGTTCAATGACGTCGGATAGATGGCAAAAACGATCATTCCGGTTCGTGGTAAGTGAGTTTTTGGGAAAGTAATAAAGTCCAAAATTTTATCACGGAAAAGCGAATTCTTTCTCCGGAGAATTACTCGGGCGAATACTCTTCACCAAGTAATTCTAGAGGATGATACTCTACCTGGAGTCTTACCAAGACCCAGGTAGGTATCAGGGACCGACCGGATGAAAGTGCGACTCCCCGTGCCAAGGCCTTCAGCTGAGGTACGGTAGGTGATCATAAGTCGTGTAGATGGGAGAGATAGGGATACACTCCGATCTCTCTCTGGGGTAGTTCGGTAGGCGAGGGTGAGGCGGATACACTCCACTCATTCTCGAAGGGAGGTTGGGTGATTTAGGGGTTTTGCACCTTAGACCGCGTTTCCTCTCTGGGAGGGAAAAATAGACTCCACCGGGACCGTGTATACCGTACAGAGACTAGTTTTGACCGCGATAATTGTTGTACGCCGCGGCCATCTTATTGGTATTACGCCATTTTG